TCAGCAACAGCCATTTTGTGTCATATTAATTCAAAAGCATCCCCCCTACCGAACCACTTTTATATGTTCGGTCTTCACTTTTCAAGTCTGGACTGATTTCTGCTTTTTCCTAGCCAAAGTGCTCAGGTGAGCGATGTTGCCCCTGGGCCTCTTGTTTAAATTCTCCTCTTGAAAAATAAGTTGCAACAGTTTGTCATAACATTTAGGTACTGAATGTGTTGTACTTTTTGTCTCCCGCTTTCACTGAAAGTGGGGGATATTAATTTCGGTCTGTCTGTCCGTCTGTATTTCTGTCTGTCTGTAACACTTTCGTGTCCGCGTAATATCTCGAGAACCCTTTGAGCTTTCGCAATGAAATTTTGCATAGCAACTCCCTATGGCCTAGAGAAGAACCCTATTGATTTTTAGGTCAAAAGGTCACAGGTCAAGGTCATAAATTTATAAATTCTGTCTGTTTTAACACTTTTGTTTGCACGTGATATCTCAAGAATCCTTTGAGCTTTTGCAATGAAATTTTACATAACAACTCCCTGTTGCCTAATGAAGACCCCTATTGATTTTGAGGTCAAAAGGTCAAAGTTCAAGGTCGTAAATTCATACATTCCATCTGTGTGTAACACTTTCGTTTCTGGGCAATATCTCAAGAAGGTTTTTGAGCTTTTGCAATGAAATTTTATACCATAACTCCTTAGGGCCTCTCTCGCCCCTCTCAAAGTGTCCCGCCCCTGTTTTTTTTTTATTTATCATATTAAAAGTCGCTTGGCACTGTTTTAAGCACAGGGGCATGTAGAGAGTCATTACGTATAATACAGGTTCAGTGTTCCAGCTAGGATCTGAAAATGGAGGGGTGCAAGAAAAGGGCACTTTTTTTGCGACTTACCGTTGTCGCGAGCTTTTGTTACATAGTCGTATCTCATTACTTCACCCTCATAATATTAATAAACCCCTACAAATATTATTTATTTATTTTACCTTGTTACTGAACTCCTTCAAATATTATTAATTTATTTAACCTTATTGATTTGAAAGATACATAAACACATACTAATTTATAGCTAGTATGTAAAGATGTAAAAAAGAATTTTAAAGATCATCTTAGAATAAATGTTACTTTTCTATCTCTTTTTAAAATCATCTTCTATTCTTGATTCCTATTTTCAATAATTATAATAGCACCATAATTCATATAAACTAACTGGTGTCTCATTATTGCAGTACATACATGTAGGTCTATACATGTACTATAGCTAAATGAGTATGTATGCATGTTTCTGGCAAATGTATTAAATAGATTCAGTATTTGTAGGTTATATTGCTTGTTTTTTTTTTTCAAATTGATCACGTTGGTGGCAGATAATTTATTAACTGAATTAATTTTGAACCTCCAAACTGTGCATGCTCTTCTTTTTTCCCTAAGCGGGGGACACAAATTCTCTGAATAAGCGTGTACCCCATTGTTTTAGATCAGAAATTGTAAGATTTATTAAAACTTTTTTAAATGATGATGTGAAAATGTAGATGTAATCACCTACAATTTCACATCTTTGAAGGAATCATCTGTTTTTTTTCCTCCAGGGTGGACCATACATATGATGTCTCCCCAATGCTGTATGACAAACAGCTGCCTGCAGGATGGACAAGGAAAGTTGTTCAGAGACTTAGTGGCAAATCTGCAGGAAAATATGATGTGTACATTTACAGGTTAATTTCATATCTTTCGATTCCTTATTAATATTTGAAAAAAAAGATTAAAATTAGTTGAATTTCTGGAAAATTTTAAAGAGGAAATTCTAGATACAAAACTTTCATGCTATTGAAACAGGATTCACAATATTTTTTTGTCTCGCTGTCAAAATTTTTAGGAATATCAAGTACCAAAACAAAAGTTGAGTTACAATTATTAATATGATAATGTCAGGTGTGTGTGTGCCAGTTTAAAATGTACAAAAATGATTGTCATGAAATTTTGTGTCCCTTGATCATGTTGAAAAAAATACCCCAACATGCCTGATTTATTTGAATTCTTTTTCAGTCCTGGTGGGAGAAAGTTGAGATCAAAGACTGACCTTGCAAGATATTTAGAGGAAGAGGGTATAACAGATCTGAATGCTGATGACTTTGATTTTACTGTTAGAGGTAAACACCATGCTGTGGGCCACACTGGTAAGAGAAAGAGGACTGAAGCAGACAGGAATAAGAGTATTGATCCTGATAAAAGTGAAGGGACTGACATCAAAAAGAGAAAAAGCAGTATACCAAAAGTAACAGCAGCAACATTCAACAAGACCAGAAAAAAATCTCAAAAGAGAGCAAACACCAACAAAAAGGCTGTTTTGTCTCAAGTAAAAGATGATTCACCTAAAAAAGGAAAATCCATATCACAGAGGCTTGTCATAAAAATGGCTTTCTCAGCAGGAGAAAGTCCTCATAAATCTAAAAAGAAAGACACCACAAAAATAAAGTCAGTGAAGCGAAAAGTGAAATCTGACAACAAACAGGATGATGATAATGTGAAATGTCAAGTGAGTACTGCTCACGGAGGGAAAAGGACCGAGGAGACTAGGAGGAGGGGGGAATGTTATGTAACTCCTAAAAAAAACCCAAGGTTTCGTGAAGCTTTGAAAGAAGACCAAAAAGCTGTAAAAGCTCATGGTGCTAATGTGTTTGATATGTTTGATAAGGATGGTAACATATGTATTGAAGGGGAAATTAAATGTAATGTGGATATGATTAAAACAGGTGATACAAAAGTAAATGGTGCACAAAGTGAAAACCAGTTTGTGAAGTGGGATTCTAATAACAGTGGGTCACTTTCTTCAGATGAAGCTAAGAGTCCCACGAGACTGAAAAGGAGAGGCTCTGGAAATATTGATTATGCAAAACTTTCTGGTCGAAACAGGCGTGTCTCAACGGAACGAAAATCCTTGTCCAGAAAATCTGACCGGGGAACTTCTCTGGATCAGACATCTGATAAAAGTAATGATAGACCAACCAACACTATAGACACTTCTTGTGAGCAAAATATTGAAACTAAAATATTGACAGAGAAGTTGTCTGATGAAAACAGTATGTGCAAATCTCCTAAAAGTGTAAACAATTACAGCTCTGTAGCTGATACAGATGGTGATCACACATTACATCAGAATGAAGCTCTACAGTCAGAACGCTCCTCATCTCTTACAAACATTAAATCCCCTGTCTCTCCCAGACTGTCCGTTAAATCCCCTGTCTCTCCCAGACTGTTCATTAAATCCCCTGTCTCTCCCAGACTGTCGGAAAGCAAGCTCACCAATCTCACCGAGTCTCCAGATGTTCAGAGTTCTAATGAAGAAACCATCTCCAGTGAAGATGATAAGGCTCTGGTTGAGGCAGATGATAACAGTCTAGACATAGGTATTGTTACAATAACAGTCTAGACATTATTGTTACATTAACAGTCTAGACATAGGTATTGTTACATTAACAGTCTAGACATAGGTATTGTTACAATAACAGTCTAGACATAGCTATGTTACATTACCCACAATGTTATTCTTAACCTGATACACAATAGGATAGGATAGTATACAAGAATAGTAGCCTAAGGATAGACAAGCATGATATGATAGGATTAATGATGGAATGAATGGTCTTAAATACAAAAGCTGATAAACAATCTTGATGATACAGAACACACAATTGGTAATTCAATTACAAGGTACATATATTTGGTAACAAGACAATACCGGTATTAAATGTCAAACACAGAATGATTAAGTTTACAGTGATAGACAATAAAACCAAACAAAGATAATATACAACAAAGATCACTAAATTTTGGAGACACCTTATTTTCGTAAGATAAGCATTTGGTATTTATAAGTGTGACAAATTTTCATGAGATCTGGTTAATGTATCTATAATACAATATTTTATGTACTTTCACCACCTTATATGAATTTAAAGCTGGACATTTTTTTGTTACAGAAGAGGATGAGGAATATGTTCCTGCACAGTCTGTTGTGGTACAGAGTCCATATTTCCAGAGTGGACATTACATGCCTCGTCCTGAGTTACATAGAGATGTTAAATGGACCCCACCAAAGTCTCCTTTTCACCTCATTCAGGAAAGCTTGTATCATGATCCATGGAAATTGCTGGTGGCCACAATATTTTTAAACAGGACCACAGGTAAGAAACTTTAGAGAGAAACGTACATCAAAGTGCCCAGAATCAAAATGGAGGAAAAAGTAATCACGTGTTTATTTGTCGAATTCATTTTAAGCAATCTTCACTATACATATGTAAGTCTGTAACCATGTTTTACTGTATAAGATGGATTTCTATTGACAATATCTGATACATGTTCAACACCCATAAATTACGTAATTTTAAACAAACAAATTGAAACCTTGTTTTATGTATTATGTTTGGCCAGAAAATCGCTTGTTTGTGGGGCAACTACCACTTACCATATAGCTTGTCAGCCCAACAAAATTGGTCCTACCAGGAGTTTGGCAATTCTAGTATTTGTCTCTTTTACCTGATAAGAATATCTCAATATGATTCAAGACTATTGATCTCATAAGATAAATGACAATGATAAAAAGATATACTCTAAGTCGTTTTGATTTCACGGTGTTAAAATTTCACGATTTCTCAGAAAGTACCAATCGCGATGGTTTTAATTTCACGCTGAAGAAATTAATTTAAATTTCGTATAAGCATTTAAACATTTTTAAAAACTATTGATAGCATTCACTATGGGTTTAATTTCACAGAAAAATTATGAATCACGTATATAACGAAATTAAAGCCATCGTGATTACATGTATTTGCCAATCTACAGTATATTACAGGTATATATGTAAAGATTTTCTGGTCACTTTATCATAGGATCAAAAGGGCAAGATTATCAATTTGATATTTTCATTTTTGTACAGGAAGGGCTGCTATTCCTATCTTGTGGAAGTTTCTGAATCGCTGGCCAAACCCAGATGCTGCTCGGAGGGGCGACTGGCAATCTATGGCCCGACTACTTACACCCCTTGGGCTGCATGAAAAGAGGGCAAAGATCATCATACGCTTTTCAGGTACTATTCTTATTCTTTCTAATCAGCATAGATCAGAGTTGTTATCAGAATCAGTAGCTATCTATTTTTTTGTTAAGTATTAAAATCGGTGAAGGTTCTTATGGATTGAGAGATGCTTACTTCCAACATACTTCAGAACAGCTCTTACAATGGGGAATGTACAAAGAGTAGGAATATATTCATTTGCACACAAATAAGTAGGGCTGGGTATTAACTAGAGATTTCTAATTGCAATATATTGTGATACTTTAAACTGTATCGCGATATGTAAATTGCAATATTTTCAACAAAAATTTAAATGAAATTTTCTTGTTATATTAACATCCTTTTACATTTAGAATGTACATAACTATGATAAATAACCAATAAAAGATATCTTGTTGATTGAATTACACTTATACAACTAAATACACCCATACAACAGCTTTTGTCTTTCTATTTGGCGTGATCGCAAACCTTTCTATTTTTCTTTATATTTTATGATAGAATTCCTGAGTCCAAGCATTTTGCCGGTATATCGGTATTTCAAAACATATTGTTTTTCGATATTTTTTTGTCAGCATACCGCAATATACCAGAATATCGGTATTATTGCCCAACCCTACAAATAAGATATGTATTAAATTGTATTTACATGTTTTTTAAATAAATTATTTAATTATAGATGAGTATTTGACAAAGGACTGGAGGTATCCAATAGAATTGCATGGAATTGGAAAATATGGAAATGATTCTTACAGAATTTTCTGTGTTAAAGAGTGGAGACAGGTAATATTTGTTCCTGGACATAAACACATTTACCTATTGCTGTGAAATCTTGTAAATACCAATATAATTCACATGAATTCCATGTGCAAGAACAGGGTGAGATGTCTTGATTATTCAACACTACTTCATCTATGATATCATAGTGTAGTTCAATATTGTGGTGCGATTTTTTGTGTATTTTAACGACAAAGCTAGCTGACCGTGGACTTCCTGAAAATGGACTTAGTGTATAGTATTAAGTATATTGCAGTTCTTTCTTTTCAACTATGAATTCATTTGAAGTAGTGTGTAAGGTTCATTTAACAGATGATTTAGGTGAAAAAAAGCTAATGCTTTCAGAGAAAATAAGAACTATCTATTATAATCTGTTTCCTGTAAGGTGAGAAGTCATTTTGATATTCAATTTATTTCTCAACTTTTTGGTCAGTTATTCGACTCGTAAAACAAGTAATCTGGAAAACATTTATTTTTCAGTTCTGATGTTTGGTTGCTTATTCATGGTTCAGTAATGATATTTCACATAACAAATAACTGAAAACATTACTATTTTCACACCCACCCCTTTCTCAAATAAACCTAATCCCTCAATTGAGATGTGTTATTCTATTGTTATACCGATGCTGTTTTAACTACTGGTAAAAGTACCTTTCCAAATTGAAAAATATGTCAAAAATTCCCCTTTTAGTTAGGAAAAATTTCCTGATCAACATACATGTAACATTTAAAATATATTAATTATGATAGTTCTAGAAATAAGCTCCAGATAACTCTCAGGATGCAGATTTTTGCAACATTTATCTGAAAATTTCCAGAGGGTGTACCCCTAGACTTCCATAGTGTACTCACACCTCCATCACTAAATGCCTTGCAACCATACTCATTTTCCCCCTTTATATGAAAAGATAGTCCAATGAAATAGCTAGATACATCCCTATACTTCCAATATTTGGACTTACTGGGAGATGGGTAGTATGTTTATAATCAGGTTTATAGAATTATTATTACATGATACAGGGTTTTCTTTTCTTGGCTGTACATTGAATCTTAAGAGAACCATAAAATGTAGTGTAGGTGGGACTATGGTCTATCACAAGGATTTATTGCATTATTTTTGTATAACTACAAGATTGGTGTTTTTAAAAAGAAACTACCCAACCAATTGAAATTTATTTAAAAAAAAAAAGGAGGGGGACGTGAGGGCTTTAAGAGAGTTTTGGTATGAATTTCTTTCTTGACAATTTAAAACAAACAAAAAAAATGTACATCTTGATCTAGATTCTAATCAGGGATGTGTAGAATAATGGGTTTTTTGCAGAACTTTGCAGAACGGTTTCTGCTAGAGGCTAAATGTTGAGGCTAAAATCAGCCTTAATCATGTATTGTGTTTGTGACTTTTACATTACTGACAATGGTGTATAGAAAAAATTATCACCTAATCAAATGGATTTTGTTGTTTTATTAGAGATTTAATAATTTCATCTATTCTGTATGTGTTTTCAGTTTGTCTTATCTTTTGAAACCGATCTATTGAACTGCCAGTCAATAGACTGCGATATATAGGACCGCCAGTCAATAGACTGCTATCTTTTGGACTGTCAGTCAATAGACTGCGATCTATTGACCGGCAACGTATTTCAGAAAAACCGATCCAGGTTTCGAATTTATATGTAACATTGCGCAGACGTCAGTGGTAAACAATCAATATTAAACAATCATTTTATTTGATCTTTTGATAATAATTTTTTTTAAAAATGTAAGATTTCAAGGGTAGGATATTTTTTTAATGAGAGTTGCTTAAATATATTACCGATATATGAATATGAATGCATAATGGTACGGAAACCTTCTGTAATATACAATTGTGAACACTAAATAATAAAATGGAATTAGGTAATAAAACAATTATTTAATGCCTGAGCAGTCAATAGACCAGAACATTTTTCCCTTGGTGCAGGGAACAGCTCAGTGTATTCTATTGCCCTCCGCCGTTGGCCTTGGGCAATAGAACACACTGAGCTGTTCCCTGCACCTCGGGAAAAATATTCTGGTCTATTGACTGCTCAGGCATTAGATTATTGTATATTATAATTTCTTTTCAGGTAACTCCTACAGACAATAAATTAAATGACTATCACAAGTGGCTGAGTGAAAACTGGCAGACATTAGGAGTGGATTGAAGAGAACATTACTCAGTTTGATAAACAAACCAGAGAACTCTCCTGTGTAAATGTGCTGTATTTCAGCTTCTGAGAAGGATGTGGAAATAAGTAATCACTGTCAAATTGATAGAAGAAGAGTCTGTGCCATGTTTGAGTCAAATCTGAGCTGAAACAAGACCTTACATTTGTATATGTATGTACTCAGTTCCACTTTCATTTTTATGTAAGCTAATGTTTGAAAACCCATACATGTTTCTGTACTGCTTATGGTCTTCATCGTTGACCTTGAATTGGTAAAGGATCTGCAAAGGCTTGCCCTTTGTTGTTTAGTGTGCAGGTAATTTAAGGCTGAACACATCAATCCTGCTTTTTTATTCCGAGTTGTGAATGTTTCACAGTCAAGCCTTCTATTCAAGTTTCTCATTCCCATGGTTTAGATAAATATTTTGATAATACTTTAAATTAAAGTATAATTTCTGAATTCAAATTGTGCAATAATTTTGATGGTGGTCATAAAATGTTGCAGTCTTGCAGAACTATTTTCCTTGTATCATGTCTATACACTTTATCTTTGATAATAAATAGTAGCATACTTTTTGCCTGTTTATATTTATTGTGATATTGTGATTAAGATTTCCTCAAAATCATCTCTGTAAAACCATGGCACTGTATTCTGAGCATAAAGCGGTCTCTAAATGACATTCAGCATTTTGTCACTGTCTTTGTGAACTCAAGTGTGTCTGTTATTTTTATTTGTGTTTCACTATAAACAAATTTTATAGCACTCACTTGCTTTGAGTGAAAGCTGCTTGCAAAGAGTCATTTTTATCATCATAAAGAGCAGTTTAAAGAAATATATTGGCTGTCAGTTGAGATTTGTTATAAATCTGTTTTAATGTATAGAAACCTTTCTCTTTTTTGACATTTTTTATGTACTTGTATATTTGGAATTGGATGGTTTAGAATTATTTGAAATCAAATTTTAAAGGTATTCTATTTTTATAGTGAAGCACTTGATGTAATTTACTGTTTTAGGAATGAAATGGACAAGTTTAATACTGTGAATCAAGTGTCTACAGATTGTTACGTGTCTTGTAGACATCTCAGATGATAATCTATTGATTCTGAGGTCAGACACATACATTTCAAAAATTAATTCAAAGTCTAAAAATTGCAAAATTTATAATGTGTTCTGGATTATGTTTTCAATGTTTTCTTACATGTATCAAGTGAAGAGTAGAAAGTCATAAACCATTATTCTGACTATTCAGGTCTTATCTATATTAAGCAACTTGCTTCACTGCTGTGTTCTTCTTTTATACATAGTGATGTTTTACAAAGTTTCATTACAAAACGTTTTTGACATCCTTGGGCATTTATATATACAACATTGTATGGATGGATGGCTACAATATTTATAACCATTTATTTACAGAAGAGCATATTTTGAAGTTCAAAGTTTTTTTCCCCCAATGCTGAGCATTTGTTTATCAATGTATGTCCTGCATGTTTAATACTTAATTCATGAAAATGTCTTGTTAAATCATTTGACCTGTTGTAGATATATATTCTGAACCACATTAAATGATAGTCAGTTGCTTTTGTTTAATTAAATATCCTGAATGATATAAATGACTTGCTACCGTCATTTTTTTTTTTATCTTTAAACCCTATACAGGGTTATTTTCGCCCCGTGTTATTTTCGCCCTTTCACACTTGCAAACAATTTTGCCCCATTTTAAATTCGCCAAGTCATAGTTTTGTTTTAGAAATTATACTGTATTCTTTGAATTTGCCCCGTTTTGAATTCGCCCAAATAAGGTAAGGGCGAAGCGAAAGGGGCAAAAATAAAACGGGGGCGAAAATTCCCCTGTGCACAGTATATTGTAGCAAAATTTAAACACATTTTTAGCTATTGGTCATAAAAACAGAGAGGCAGGGGAGAAAAAAAAAGAAATCAAAACCAAACTCACTGTCAGCAAATTAAATCTGAGGGAATTAATAGAAAAGAAACGTTTTACAGTAACTTAATGAGAGGTTGTTACTAGGGATACACAATTTTATTGGTATACTGGTATGTCATTATTTATTGCACAATACATGACATGATACAGAGACTAAAATACAGGTATTTAGTATGTTATTATAAATTCCGGAAATTATTATTTTGATCAAACTTTTGAATTAGAATTACCAGAATTGTAAAAAAACAACAACAAAAAATGTTTCAAAACAGTAAAACAATGGCAGCCTAAAATCCAAAAAAGCTTTATTCATAAATAAAAAAGGAAAAAAAAACAATTAAGTTATGTTTTTTCAATATATTTTTTAGAATAATTATGGAAATTCATTTCAAATCATAGTAAATATTGTGTGTAAAAATATCATGATATTATCGTGATATTTTTGGGAAAATATATTGTGATAGATCACAATCAAAATTTTTTGCAATACCCATCCCTAGTTGTTACTACAGAGGAAGTGTTTTGCAATAATTTAAATGGGAAAGTGTTGCTTTAGAAGAATCTTTTCCAGATATTTAAATGGGAGAGTGTTACTACAAAGGAAGTGTTTTACAGTAATTTTAAATGGGAGGTGTTATTATAGAGTAGGTGTTTTACAGTTATTTTAAATGGGAGGTGTTATTATAGAGTAGGTGTTTTACAGTAATTTAAATGACAGGTGCATCTATAGAGGAAGTGTTTTACAGTAATTGAAATTGGAGAGTGTTTTTATAGAGGAAGTGTTCTACAGTAATTAAGTGGAAAGGTGTTACTACAGAGGAAGTGTTCTACAGTAATTTAAATGGGAAAGTGTTACTATAAAGGAAATGTTTTATAGTTATTTGAATTAAAGGGTCTTATTATAGAGGAAGTGTTTTAAAGTAAGTCAAATGAGAAGATCTTTCTATAGAGGAAGTGTTTTGCAGTAATTTAAATGGGAGGTCATATTATAAAGTAGATGTTTTACTGTAATTTAAATGGGAGGTGTGTCTACAGAGGAAGTGTTTTACAATTATTTAAATGGGAGAGTAGCTTTATAGAGGAATTAAGTGTTTTACAGTAATTTAAATTGGAGATGTAATTTCAGAGGAAGTATTTTACAGTAATGTTGCTACAGAATAATCTTTTGCAGTTATTTAAATGGGAGAGTCTTGCTACAAAGTAAGTGCTTTCCTTTAATTTAAATTTTAGTGTGTAACTATAGAGGGAGTGTTTTAAAGTAATTAAATGGGAGGTGTAACTACAGAGGAAGTGTTTTACAGTAATTTTAAATGGGAGGTCTTATTATAGAGTAGGTGTTTTACAGTAATTTAAATGGGAGGTGTGCCTACAAAGGAAGTGTTTTGCAGTTATTTAAATGGGAGAGTGTTTTTATAGAGGAAATGTTTTACAGTAATTTAAATGGGAGGTGTTATTACAGGGGAAGTGTTTTGCAGTAATGTAAATAGGAGAGTGTATCTACAGAGGAAGTGATTTACAGTAATATAATTGGAGGGTGTTACTATAAAGTAAGTGTTTTACAGTAATTTAAATGGGAAGTGTTACTATAGAGGAAGTGTTCTACAGTACTTTAAATGAGAGGGTGTTACTACAGAGAAAGTGCTTTGCAGTTATCTAAATGGGAAAGTGTTACTATAGAGGAAGTGTTTACAGAAATTTAAATAGGAGGGTGTTACTACAGAGAACGTGTTTTACAGTTATTTGAATGGGAGGATCTTATTATAGAGGAAGTGTTTTAAAGTAATTCAAATGGGAGGATATTACATTGTACTACAGAGGAAGTGTTTACAGAAATTAAATTGGGAGTCTGTTACTTAAGAGAAAGTGTTTCACAGTAATTAAAATGGAAGGGCCTTATTATAGAAGAAGTGTTTTACAGTAATTTAAATGGTCCAACGGAGACCTTTTTTATATGAACATGTATGTACAGTATCAACATTTAGAGGTCTTTTTTGGGTCACCTGAGTCACTGAGGTGACCTATTTCTATCCGTTTTTGTCAGTCGTCGTGCGTTAACATTTGAACATTTTCAACTTCTTCTCTGGAACCGCTAAATCAATTTCGGCCAATTTTGACATATAGCATCTATGGTTGAAGGGAAACAAAAATTATGAATTTCATGGTCCTGCCCCCGTGGGTCCTGTGTGGCTAAAACCAACAAAATTAATGCAATCTTTAGAAATGTTCTTCTTTACTCCTGGACATCAAGCAGTCAAACTGTTGGCACGATTGTAATAAGCATTGAGCCATCTATCAAAATTGTGAAATTTATGGTCCCAGGGTCAGGGCTTGTTGTGCTAGGACATGGCTATATATAACATATAGTGAAAGTGCATTATGTCTTTGAAAATCTTCTCTTCTCCTGGGTATTGAAGAAACAAACTAAGTACATAGTTATGAGCAAGGGTGCCTCTTTCAAAATTGTGAATTTCAATGATCAGTTTGAATGATCAGGTAGACTTGTAAATAATAGATGAATAAAAATGAGACAAAAAATTATTTTACTTATACTTACTGATACTTTGTTCTTCAGAAACCAAGAGAGGCCAATGTGAGAGGTTACAATATGGGGTTAAAAATAGTACAGAAGCACTAATAGTTTGTCAATAGTCTGCTTGGTGATTGTGATAAATTGGGGACAGATTAGAACTTTATGTATGAGTTGTTACTGAATACTAGACATTATTTTGTTGATCCAGATGATCCTATTTCTCGTGCTTTCTTTTCACCTATCAGTTTATTTTATACTCGATGGATCCTCTAAATTGTTGTATTATACTCAGATGACCGTTAAGGCCTTTGAGACTCTTGTTTCAAAATGCTACTTCTAGTACGGTTTTAGTCCGATTTCAATATAATCTGGTATCTAGTAGATAACACAAAGATACATAATTCTGTATATCGTTTTTTTTTTATTTCAATGAACGGTTTTGCCACGGTTACTAAAAATAGAAAATTCATGTGAATTATAAAAAACAAATGCTACTCCTCCTACAGTTTTAGTCAGATTTCAATATAACTTAGTACACAAGTAGACTTGTACTGTGTATTTGTTTTTTATTTCGATAAACGGTGTTGCCATGTTACTAAAATAGAAATTTCTGTGAAATTCTTTCAAAATGTTACTTCTACTATTAAACCTGACTCAGAAAGAGACTAAACCAATGATCATTATTTTATTTATTGCTTTTTGCCATTTTTTTGTTTTGTAAAAATAAGTAGAGCTACAGTCTTGTCAGAGACTTCAGGTTTTTTAAGCAGCAAGATTACCTTTTTACGTTTCAGTTTATACTGGCTGCAGAAATGCCCAGCAGCAAGAGAAAAAAGGATTTTGAAATGAAATGTCAACAATTCAAATTTAAGACTTGACGTGTTCACAATGCTGTGGACAGCAAAATGTCCAGATCATCATAATAGTGAACATTGTTGTGTACTCAATTTAAAGATAACCATTTTAGTATTCTTCTTTACTGTAGGCTTACTGAGTAGACAGAGATTAAAAATACATGTAGTGATAAAGGTTAATTCTAACAAATGTTTACAAATACTTCCAAATATTGCCATGCAACTACTCAGTCTCATGATTGATACAGAGATGATATGTGGCAAAAGAAATAAAGTAAGTAAAAAAAATATTATATAAATTGTTGTGGACACCATCACCTACAATATCTTAAATTTTCTATCACTTTGTAGTACAGTACTGATTGAATTACATGTATTAGAAATTCAAATAATGAGTACACGACAATTACTTTATCATGGAATTAAGAATGTTAGACATTTTGCAAAGGATAAGAAAGCTTTCTCAAAAATTATCACAAACAGCAGCAAGAAAAACTAAGTAACAAAACAGTAACTAAAATGATGGTGAACATTTAGTATCTTGGAATTTTTCATCAGGACAAATGTCGTTTACTGATTATTGAATTATTAGAGATTCATATACGTGCACGACAGTACCTATGTGTAAATCACCAAATAAAGTAACCTAACCTAATTAAATGACTTACTACAGAACGTAACTTACGATTCAAAACTGTACCTAAGTACATGATTCACTACAGAACTTAACTACACGATTCACAACAAAACCTAATTAACTGACTCACAACTGAATCTAATTACACGATTCACTACAAAACATAATTATATATTAGACAACAGAATTCCTAGTGAATCTGACTACCCAATTAACTTCAAACCCTAAATACACACGTGTCACAACAGAACCTAGCTACACGATTCACTACAGATCCTAAATGTACATGATTCACTAAAGAACTAAACTACACGATTCACTACAGATCCTAAACGTACTTGATTCACTAAAGAACTAAACTACACGATTCACTACAGATCCTAAATGTACATGATTCACTAAAGAACTAAACTACACGATTCATTACAGATCCTAAATGTACATGATTCACTACAGATCCTACATGTACATGATTCAATAAAGAACTAAACTACATGATTTAGTTCAGATCCTAAATGAACATAATTCACTAAAGAACTATAAACTACGCGATTCACTATAGATCCTACATGTACATGATTCTCTACAGATTCTACATGTACATGATTCACTATAGATCCTACATGTACATAATTCATTAAAAAACTAAACTACACGATTCAC